TTTAAAGGCCAGACTCAGAACCACCGGCAACGGGCGATGCATCCGTGCTACTGGAGGGGTGGCGGGTTTATGAACGCACCATGGTGCAACGTAACAGGGCGACCCTCCTTGCAGGGCGTGCCCGTCCACCACGCGAGGTTTTCATCGCTTGACCATTGTATAGAACACAATCTTCGAATTTCCAACTTTTTGTGAGATCGACTTTTGTTGAATCAGTTGCTAACAGAAGAGACATTGAACACCTGCTGGGACGTGCTGAAGTATGGACCATCGCCCTGTAAGGTGCGGCAGTTTTTAGCCGTTGAATCCGGCAAGGTCCTTACCACTCACTACATGTATAATTATTGCCGGAAGATCTTGCCATCTATCGTGAGCGGGTGACGTATATTTAGGTCTTGTTGTGGTAGATAATATACTTTAGGTCCCAGCAGAGGGTCGCAAGCGTACACGTGTGCCCAGATCTTGCCATCTATCGTGAGCGGGTGACGTATATTTAGGTCTTGTTGTGGTAGATAATATACTTTCGGTCCCAGCAGAGGGTCGCAAGCGTACACGTGTGTGTGTGTTTGATTTTTGGGAGGGTCATTTTGGCCACGTATGCTTCACCAGGTAGCGACAGACAGCGTGGTTTTGACGCCTCCCGATTTGATAAATGTTGATGGAAAAAGAGAGACAAGCCAATTTAGGTGGGTCTTTTCAAAATAAATTATATCTGGCCTGTAGGTGCAAGCTTTGAACCGTTCTGATCACAAAATGGTATGGTTCCGGATGTCCAGTTTTGTATGCCTTCGCGGAAAGCGAGCAGTTTGCTATCGTACGTAAACTTTTTAGCTTATTCACGAAAGAATATCTCCCGAAGACTTTTTCGGTGGCCAAACTGGTGACAGAAATGTGGGAAGAGAGGGTATTGTTCGGCTGCAATATCATTTTGTGCTACTCTTCTTTTCGAAGCACGTAGTATCAAATAACATCTATGTATTTTGGTCACAGACACACAGTGCAAGCACCCGACGCGTTCCCCGTATAATTCATGTGGAGAATATCGCAGGTAGGCTTCGCTGTTCACCATACGGATGGCATGAAATTCGAGCAAGCACCGCGACTTCTGCGCCGCCTGGATCCACGATTTGTCTCTTGCCTCACGGACTGCTGGTTGGGCTGTACAAGCGCCATCTGGTGTTTCTATTTTAGCATCGTGATTAATGGCCGTCTAGAGAACGTAGAGGGTCGCCTGAAGTGTTAGGTGCGACACTCGGACACACTGGAGCATACCATATATTAGGTGCCCCGAAACGCCGACTGGCTCTTGTGAGAATATGAAATATATACTAAGGACATTCAAACCGACGGGACATCCCGGAGGACAGAGAATACGTTTCAAAAGTTATCTGTCAAGTGACTACATTTCCGAGTTTCGTCATTTTGAGGCACTTGGATCCGCGTCTCCTCGCTATTATCGTGTTGTGACAAATCAGTTAACAAGTCAGTTTAAATGAGTTACGGTGCTGGTGCAAGCTGGAGAATGCACCTCTCCGTTCCGCCGGGTGATGTGACTCCCCTGCATCAATTTTCTCTCTGTACTTATAGACGAATCGATTCAAATTGTTAAGAAGTATTATTCAAAGATGTTTTTCCAGGTTGTTTCTCAACTGCTAAGGGTAAATCTCGGATTGTAACTCACCGGAAAAACATGCAGCCCTTACTTACTCTCATGGGGCTATAATCAACTTTTGACGACCTTCGTGAACAGATTAACCTAGTGGTGCGTATGTATCCGCGAAAGCAAAATTTCAAGGTCGGGTGTCGTAGAACTTTTTTGGATACTAGCCCATTCCTAGGCCTTTGACCAGTTTTTATGCTCGATAGCTATTTTTCACGGTGGTCCCCCAGTTAGCTGCAATCACAGAGGCCAAACAAGTCTCCCTTCTCCAGTAGGCCTAATCAGTGCTAGCTCCAGTTTGTAGAGCGTGTTTAGTCCTCATCTACATAGTCGTTCCGTTCAACGTGCCGCCACTGTCCTACGCTTCCACAGTCCTATCTGAACTACCGACCCACACTTTTATCTAAGATTGAGTGTGACCTTAATACGGTCCATAATTCTCCTACTATCCTAGAGCTCTCTCAACTTTATTCTACCAAATCAATCATTCCTCAACCTGCTCCGAAGTATCTTATTATGAGACCCCTCCTGTCTTCCTCCTCAAAGCGGTTGCTAGACCACGAATCCCCGTCACCTATCCTCCCAGTGTGTTTATAGAAGCGTCTTAGATACAGAAGAGCCAGCTCTCAACTCCCTCACCTTTCGAGGCCGGCGAAGACAGTATTCCAAGCAACCTCAGATTATTCAGTTGTACTAACTGATATATCTTTACCTCCTCAACCCGGCAACACTTTCGCCGCTACCAGTAGGTTCCGAGGTCCTGAATAACCTGGAAAATCTCAGAACACGTGTGCACCGGATGGAAAACGAAATGTCCTCTCTCCGAACCGCACAATTAATTACACGCCTTCTGAATCCTGGCGCAGCATACGACCCAACCAACTTAAAAATCGTCACTAATATTGAAACGATTGCTTTTGAGATTTACCAGCGCATCGAATGTCGGCATCGATTCCCATCGTTCAATGCACCCGATCGAATCCCGCTTGAACATGCCAAAACCGTCATCCTGACCGCATGTGGTATGCAATACACCATGAGCACAGCTCGGCGACTCCGGAAGTCGAAACCGTCCATGTGCTGCCCGATAATAATGCAGTTCCGGGGTGAAAAGAATGCCGCGCGTCTGCTACCAGCTCAGACCCTTCCCTCCTCTACAAAAAAATTCCATGCCTTAAAAATCAAAGCTACCCGTACTAGAATGCAAAGACAGCTTACCAAAAAGTTACCTGAACCTGTTGCCCCGTCAACTACCAGTACTTGCGCTGACGAGTGCCATAACGCCACACAAACCCGCCTGCTGGATCCAGGCCCTGTGCCCCACGCCATGACCCTTGAGCCATCACTTCTATCGCACCCACAAATGTTATCTCTGACCTTCACCACGCCAACAAGATCGACTGCTGATCTAAGAGATACGGTAACTAATCAGCCTAGAAATAATGACACTCCGTGTTAACCAACCACTGCGCTTCCTTGGACTCAAGCACCTGCTGTCCAGGCCTCGCACCGTAACTCCTCCTGCACCAACTCTCCGAACTCCTGCTCTTTGCCCCTCTTCTACAAACCTGGCCAAACCCGTAATTCCTCATAAGTTCATCTGTAGCCCCTCTAACCGCGGAACCCGGTTGCCCACCAGGATCTCTAAACCATAACTACCGTTACTTAATCCTGGTCCCCATCAAGTTCCGCCCCTCTGAAAACCCGCGTACTATTTGCCTGGGAGCCCTCGTCGGTAAATACCTACTACGCTACAGCCCCCATCCCCTGCAAAGCCACGTGCAGCTCCACCCATACTACCTTAAACTGTATCTCGGCTTCATATTTCAACCCCCTCCAACTAAAACCAACGCAGAGGATTCCTGCTCACCCCCCACGAAGCCCACTCCTCCCAGAGAGTTTGACTGTGCCCCTCACCTCCTCACTGCACCCTGTCCCTTCCCCTTTCATTGAATTTCTTACCATAAACCTCCTATTTCATCTTACCCAATCATCACATTTTGGACACCTGTTACCTACGACCCCTACGATTCGATGCTGAAGGCTCCACAAAACAGATCCACTCACCTTCTCAGTGCACCTGCACTACCCTCTCATTCCCTGTTTCTTAAATACTTGTCCAACTCGTCCGTCCCACGTGACCTAAATCCCGCTGTTTCTGTTCAGCTGCCACACACGGTACCATCTCCTGATTATGTTGGTTACATTATTACAGACGATTGCTTGACCCAGCCTGTTACTCCTCGTCCATGGAGCTCCACTGCCTGCACTGCCACCCAAACGCTCTCTCGATACCCATCACGGTACGTCCCAGCATCTTATTCTCACGTATCATTACCTGGTCCTACCTCGCCTACCAATTAGAGAACTCCCGATTTCCCCGTCTCTACTCCATTTCATACTGACTTCCCTGGGCTTCTCAACTTCTTGCTGGCCGTACAACTCACCTTCCCTGATCCCGCTAGCAGTATTTCTGTCGTTCTAATCAACATCCACTCTCTCTTACCTAAGTTGCACCATATCCAGGCTATCTCCACTATAGATCGTCCAACCTTCACTTGCATCACTGAGACGTGGCTCTCTCCTAGCACGCCTGTTGTCCTTATCTCCATGCCGGGATACATTATCTTCTTTCCGATCTTTCTTACCGCGGTGGAGGTGACTTCTTCATACACTCCAGAACCGAAATGGAAGTCTTCACCATTGACGATCCACTACTGGCGGACACTGTGGACTCTGTTTGACTTTCTGTCTGTCGATCTTATCTGCCGTTCACCCTCGGGTGTTTGTAAATGCTCCACACACTCCGCTAGCTCGACTAATCGTCTATCCACACTTCTTTCACACACTCAATCTCTATCTCAACAAACTAATTGTTGTGGATCTCAGCCTTTCTGAGATTGCCTGGTCTCAACAAGACTCCCCTATGCGCCCTTCGCCTCTGCTTACCCAACTTAATGTCGAAGGCGGGTCCCAGCTTGTAAGGCAACCACCACGCTGTGCTCCCGCCTTGGACATTGACCTTGTCAGCGGCTATCCTTGTCCCACTGCTACAGTTGGCCCGAAGTTTCCTGACAGCGACCATTGTATTGTAACTTGCAGCTGGACGACCGCTCTACCCTCTCCTACTCTTATCCCTTAACCTCTTTCATCCTTTCCGCGGGCATTCTCGAATCCTTTGCAACCTCATTGCACCATAAGACCTGGCACGAGTTCTTTCTCTCTGGTGACTCGCAAAGCGTGGCTAGCATCTTATACGGCAACTTACCACCACCATTATATCTATTTGCTCACACACGAGCCCCCTGTGCTTCTGGTTGCCATCCAGCCACACGACTACCCGCTATACACCATAAACCTAGGAAGTATCGTAGGCTCTTTCCTGAATCTCATGATCTCTCCCTTATTATTGTAATTAACAAACATGATTGATATTACCACGGTCAAACTCGCCCTTGAAGAGCGCGAGGAATCAACCGCCCTAGCCCATTTTCTACAATCTAAGATGCTGGGGCGCCTCTTTCACTGGTGTTGCTTCCCAAATTCATCTGCAGTTTCATTGTGGCCGCTGACGGAAAACCCCTCTCTGACCCTGCTGACATTATGAAATCCCTAAACTCTTAATTCGCTAGCTACTATGTTCCCTCCGCATCGACTCTATCTACTCATTGCTCCCCAGGTGGTTACGAAGTGACCACATCTGCTAACGAGACAAGCCCCAGACTGTGCACACTCTCATTTAATTTGTCTGACGTAACTTCGTCTCTCGTCCGCCTTAGAGACTCCAGTTTCCCAGGCATTGACGGCATCGCTTCGCTTGTCTTGAAAGCTGGTGGCTCGGACATTCCAACCCCCTCCTTAATCTCTTCAATAACTCCCTTATCCCTGGCACAGTCCCTAGTCCGTGGAAGCACTCTACCATTGTCCCACACTATAAATCAGGTCCACAAACTGCTCTAGCCAGCTAGCGTGGCATCCACCATACCTGCTTACTCCCTA